GTGTAGTATAAAGAAAGATTAAATTGTAAATAATAAAGAAAGGTCAAAGTGTAAGTAATATAGAAGGGTTGAAGTGTAAGTAATATAGAAAGATTAAATTGTAAATAATAAAGTAATGTTAAAGGTAAGTAATATAGAAATGTTAAAGTGTAAGTAATAAAGAAACGTTGAAGTGTAAGTAATATAGAAAGATTAAATTGTAAATAATAAAGAAAAGTTAAAGTGTAAGTAATAAAGTAATGTTGAAGGTAAGTAATATAGAAAGGTTAAAGTGTAAGTAATAAAGAAAGGTTGAAGTGTAAGTTATACAGAAAGATTAAATAGTAAATAATAAAGAAAGGTTAAAGTGTTAGTAATAAAGAAATGTTAAAGTGTAAGTAATAAAGAAAGGTTGAAGTGTAAGTAATATAGAAAGGTTAAAGTGTAAGTAATAAAGAAAGGTTGAAGTGTAAGTTATACAGAAAGATTAAATTGTAAATAATAAAGAAAGGTTAAAGTGCAAGTAATAAAGAAATGTTAAAGTGTAAGTAATTTAGAAAGGTTAAAGTGTAAGTAATATAGAAAGATTAAATTGTAAATAATAAAGAAATGTTAAAGTGTAAGTTATACAGAAAGATTAAATTGTAAATAATAAAGAAAGGTTAAAGTGTAAGTAATAAAGAAATGTTAAAGTGTAAGTAATAAAGAAATGTTAAAGTGTAAGTAATAAAGAAAGATTAAATTGTAAATAATAAAGTAATGTTAAAGGTAAGTAATATAGAAAGATTAAATTGTAAATAATAAAGAAATGTTAAAGTGTAAGTTATACAGAAAGATTAAATTGTAAATAATAAAGAAAGGTTAAAGTGTAAGTAATAAAGAAATGTTAAAGTGTAAGTAATAAAGAAATGTTAAAGTGTAAGTAATAAAGAAAGGTTGAAGTGTAAGTAATATAGAAAGATTAAAGTGTAAGTAATAAAGAAAGGTTGAAGTGTAAGTTATACAGAAAGATTAAATTGTAAATAATAAAGAAATGTTAAAGTGTAAGTAATATAGAAAGGTTAAATTGTAAATAATAAAGAAAGGTCAAAGTGTAAGTAATATAGAAGGGTTGAAGTGTAAGTAATATAGAAAGATTAAATTGTAAAAAATAAAGTAATGTTAAAGGTAAGTAATATAGAAAGATTAAAGTGTAAGTAATAAAGAAAGGTTGAAGTGTAAGTAATATAGAAAGATTAAATTGTAAATAATAAAGAAAGGTTAAAGTGTAAGTAATAAAGAAATGTTGAAGGTAAGTAATAAAGAAAGGTTGAAGTGTAAGTAATAAAGCGAGAATACCTGCATATATGTTCTACTATTAACAGGATAATAATTACCAGCTATAGGTTCAGATTGATTTAATGTCCATGTACTGCGATAGTCACGTCTGTTGAAGAAAAGAGAAAACTCTCAGTATTTGTTTTAACTCAGAAAAGCTTCTTCTAAGAGATACTCACTGACTCTCCAAGGATCACTTGCCTGCATAAAACAACATAATTATGTTTATGAACAAAAATTCTTAACTTACTTTCTTTGTAATATTTCTCTACCATTAGCATCAGTATAAAAAAGACTATCAGTTTGTAAATCTGTTGTATATTGACTAATTACTTCTTTACCCTTTTTATCACTGAAAATATCAAAATTTCATCACTTTAACTAAAACATTATCAGTTATATAATGCTAATAATAAACTGATTCTTGACCAGTCCTAACATCAACAGATACTACACATGCAAATGATTCATAACTCCAAGGTAAATAAAATTTTCATTAAACAAAAAACTTACTTAATAGGTATAGGTCCAACAGTCCACTGAATTTCTGCCCATTTAGCATTTTCATACAGAATGAAACTTTCAGTGGCCCACGAACTAAATGATTGAGTTAATTCTTGAACTATTTCTCCCTAGAAATATAACAATTAAATTAAGAAACATTTAGAAATTTCCACCAACATCATTTAAATACAATTTAATCAGAAATATGTAACCATGTCATATTTGTATGTAGCCAGGTATTCTTCAGTTCAGTATGAACTTGGTCACATATTAATATGACAAAAACATTGCATGGACTCTCTTGGCAACTGTAAAATTCAAAGAATTCCATGAATGAGGAAAGTACCAAACTCAATACTTTACTTTGCATGAAGGACAAAAGAAAGTTTTGTGAGAAACTATTTGTGCTTTAAGAGAGACATGATAAAACCATGCACAAAGTGATATCAAGATATTTCTACAATATGAGAAGATAGTAGATAAAGTTTTTTTGCTTGATAACTCATATCGGTAAAACCATGCAGTGGATTCAATGTTGTCATTGAACAGCCGATTAGCTTCAACCTACCTGTTTAATGTAATTCTTTAACTTAAGCTGTGGTTTATCAAACATATGAACATTGTTAGAGCTAGGACGGAATATATAGGCACCGGATGCTACAAACTCATCTTTACTGTTATTACCATCATGACCAATATAATAACCTAACTGTTGATTTAACTTAATACTAATCTTCTTCTCTAAATTCTCCATCTTGGATAATAATCCACTACTACCATCAAATGTCAAGGAAATATACTAAAAAGAATATGATTTAGCATGAATGTGAATACAAATAAAACCTTACTATTTAATTTGTGATGTAAACAGATTAAAAGTTTGATGAAGTTTAATCAAACCTTTTTCATGAGTTGTAAATACATTACAAACTTATATTATTACAAAATATTTTCCTTTTATTGCATATTTGAGATACATAACATATTCAGTATCCTTTCTATACAAGCTAAGAGCTTTACCTTATTAGATAGTACAGTATCTTCTGTACCAGTTAATTGTTTAACTTTAGTTGTTTCCAATGTTTTAGTTTTTTTGGCTGTAATAAATAAATAAATTATGTTTATCTTCTAAGCAATAAATTCCAGTATCCATTGCAATCCACTGAGCTCTTATAATCTAAGATCTCTCTGTGAAAAAAATAAATTTTTGTCCGCAAATAGATGCAGAATCTTGAACGAAGGTGCACAAGAAGCATTTGGCTGAATTCTTGAAAATATAAAAAATAAACTGGCTCACCAGAAGTCATCTGTATAAAATATGTAGTAAAACCAAGAGGTTGTAGTGTGGTATTAAACACCAGTTCGTGTTTTGCTAAAGATCCTTTTCTTTCTGGTATTCTCATAGTGTCTGAGGCTATAGGTACTATCTACAGAAAATAAAATAATACAACATCCAAAATCAAATATTTGACACCTTGAATAATAATAATAATAATAATGACGATATTTATATTGCGCAGCAATTTATTCCTCGTGGAATTTCTCAAGACGCACTCTAGTGATCTCAATTGGTGAGTTAATGATAGTAACTAAACAACCAAGTTTTCACTTTACATTTAAATGCAGACACAGATTCACATTGTTGAATTGATTTCAGTCATTTATTCCAAATTACTGATGCTGTGTATTGAAACGTTCCGGAACCAAATTTTTTCAAGTAACATTTTGCCTCCAGATCTTAATGAATGTTTAGGCATGTATAATGACAGTAGATTTTGAAGATAGCATGGGGAAGTTTTGTTGACGGTCTTATACGTCAGCCATAAAATTTTGAAATTGATCCTTTCAATAAAGAGATAAGGTATCGCTAGGTATATTACAGATTAATTTTTAAGTTTATGTTCATTTGTTTTAACTGTATATATCTTGAATCAAAATGAAATGAAAGTAAAATAGTTTATCAACTAAATATTAAACAAAAATTTGGTCACAATCCATTGTACTTTGTTGTTAAATTACAAATTATATAAATTTAGTAACAATGATATTTACCTGATTCTGAATAGGTTTACCATCAGGACCAACTACATTATATTCAGAACCTACCACTGGTAATCTGACATAATAGATCACTGATCTAGCTATAGGATTATAAATATGTAACTGGAACTGTAATGAATTCAATATTAATTAGAAACTATTTAATCATTTGCTGTAAAATTGATACTTAATTTTTAACAGTGAGCTATCAGTTTAAACCAATCAAAACCTAACAAGAAACAAATCTGACAGATTCCGTTACAGGACATTATTACTATAAACTACTCTCCACTGTTTAATTTTGAATCAGAGATGTAAGTGACCATTGAATTCATTCTCGGAACTTTTGGGAAGCTCAGGCAGTGAAACGTATCGCACTTCATATCCAGAAAAGAAATGAATCTGCAAACCATTTCCATTTCTGGAAGTCTTACATCTCTGTTGAATTAAAAAAAATTTTAATCTCTTTTTAATTTATAAACCTACCATTTTATTTTGTTCTGTAAAAGCACAGCTACTAATGTTTAATAATGTACAGAAGGAATGACCAGGTGGTTTTACTGTTTTTAATGGCATCAATTTACCATAAGCATCATTTACAACTTTCTGTAATATCAGTATTAAACACAAATTACATTGTATGTTTCTAAACAGTTTATTTTTTATTTGTTGTTTTATCTATTGTGCACATCTGACAGCTTAAATTTCAGAAGTTTAGGATTATTCCTTTCATAGTTGTATGGCCAACCTCATTACACAGATCTTGAGTAGAGATAGATAAATAGCTTTAAGAAAGCCTAATCCTGCAATTAACCCTGTCCTGTTCAGTAAAGCTGAAAAAAAATGAAGAACAAGGAAACTCACTAACCTGACATTCATTGACACCATTAGCCAATCTTTCAGCATAATCATAGGCTACAGCTTGCTTTTCTGTACCTCTGATATATACAATATAGTATCATATTTTATAATCAATGTGTTCAAATTGTTCTGTAAGAAGAAATACTAAACAAGAAGTTAACAAATACTTCAAAAGTATATTATGTATACATAAAAAGAAAAAAAAACACTTACGACACAGCATCATGATGTTGAGCAACACCCATTGCTTCTCCTGGAATATAAAATATCATACTTACTTCATTATATCTAAACATGGTGGTTAAATATCTTGTCAGTTCAAATTAAAAAATTCCTGGATAACTTACGTAAAATAACTATATTATAAGTACTGTTGTCAGTGTCCTCTAATAAAGCTAGAGCATCCATTTGTTTTGTTACCTACAAAAGACAACATGATGTTAAGTCAATAAAAGGCTCATTTGTTAAATGCCAAAACACCCTTTTTCAATTCCATTATGAAAACAAGGAGATAAAGATAATTATATTTAATTTGCCACATTTTTGGGAATTTCATTAAATTCTTTAACTTTGTGCCTTTAAATTAATACTTAATGATCATCATGAGAACATCATGTTCAGCCTGAAGGTTCAGTTTAGAGCTTGAAACTAAACATTCAACAAATTAAACATGAATACATTTATTACTTGTAGAAAATTATTGGTTCTTCTAACATAATATTTTAAAGTAGCTCTGCTGGTGAAATAACCAGTCCAGAAACCATGGCCTCTAGAAGCATAAGGGAAGAAATCATCTTCTTTTGTCGTCCATTTTAAACCTGCTTTATTAAGTTGGTCTAAATAACATGATGGTGTTGAATATAACAGATTTACTTTACTACCATTACTTTGCTAAAATAAATCAATAAATCATTTGTCCCTAGAGAGTTCACATACTTTGATCATATATCTGAATTCCTTATACTGGAAGCTGTATGAGTACTTATCAACTAAAGGGGAAGGAACGTTTTCAATAGTTGATTTTCTTCACTAACCAACATATGTATGAATAAATTGTATAAAAATTGGCATTAGGCATAAAAATATTAGGTGAATCAAATTACTATAACAGTTGTCTTATACTACTTTACAATGAATATCCTATTGTTTCTCTCATCTATCTAGTTTTTAAATCTTCCATTGAGGAAAAAATTTTGGTAGAATATTTCAAAGACCTCTAAAATGTGTTCCATAGCAATTTCAACAGATCATGCCTGAAAGTGGAGTAGCTCACAGAAATAAAACACAGAAATAAAAAATCTAGATTTGCATTTTCTTCAGACTGGTTTAACGGAAAACATGTAATCTATTCTCAGTTGAAACATGAATTATTGTTGACTAACTTACCATAGCATTAGCATATTTAATAAGTTTATCTAGATTTTTATACCAAGTATGAGCATTACTGTACTGAAAATCAGACCCCATGGTCCAGATAAGATGTTTGGTTTGGTAATGTTTTGCCTGAAACATAAAGGAAGATGATAACTTTTTGCCTAACATAAATAAATAAAAGAGCAAAATGACGATCTTTGAATTGTCTATAATCTTCCAGATCAATATATAATAAAAGTCATTAGCATGGCGACAATAAAAGGGTACTACCTGATCAGAAACGTCTTTAAAAAGGTTTTTCAGAACATCAGGAACATTATAACCATGTAATCTTTCATCATCCTAAAAATATAGTTAGTACATTATTAACTATAATAATTATCTTATTGACTATCATATACCAAAGATTTTTGACATGAAGGAACATATAACCACAATTAGCTCACTTTATTTTTAGGGAGATATGTTAGTTATAACTTAATTTGACTCTTAAATTAAGAGTCCTGATAAGCAAGATATCTGAAAAGAAGGCAGGGATAGATTTAGGTATGGCATGACAAGACATAACAGGGGTATGTTTGCAACACACATCATACCATAACAGGCTCATCTCGACAATTCTCAAAATCCCAACAAAAACCACCAAGAGGTCCATAACCATTATAAAGGGCACCAGTAAATAAATCACTTTCAGAGCCTACAATATTAACTAAAATATTATTTTACCATAATAGGTGAATCACCACAAATTGTATCCCAGCAAAAACCAGATGGTGGTCCATAACCACTATAGAGGGCACCAGTAAATAATTCAGATCTAGAACCTTAAAATAATAAATATGTTGATTGTTAATATGCATATATCCATATATTGCTAGATTCTACATAGCAATGTATAAACCAATTTCACTGCTTACTATACTTTTATTAATTGTAACTCAGTTGAGAAAGATGACACGAGTGGGGAGATGGAAATAAAAGGTCATTAAACAATGAATAATATTTTACCAAGATTTTTGGGACTTCCTTTCCAAATCATTTCCATAGTTTTCTTGTTTAATCTATTATCTTTATCTTGATAATCAAGTCTACCAAAAAATAAACCATCAAATCCCATCTGCAAGGAAAATATTAAGCTGAGAGACTTAAAGGGAGGCAATTCAAATTAGGTTTAACCAAGTCAAAACTCAAAGATCCTCCAATTATAATCTGCATCCAAGAGTCCTTCGATACAAAAGCATTCCAAGATTTTGCAAATCCAATCAAAACTACAGTCTCTATGTCAAGTTCAAAAGCCAATTTTTGTAAAGCAAATACTAAATAGCATGAAAATGTTAGATCTTATCAATATACATACCAAAATTCATCAAACTCTGATCAAAACTGTAGTATAAAGTCTCTATTGCGTTCAATTTTGATGTTATTCAAGGGTCGTGACTCAAATCACTTGTTAAGCCTTTTGAAGACAAATGGGGATAAAAAAAAAAAGGTTTATAGATGAATCAAAAGCTTCTTGGTTATGTTAAGAATATTGAAATTACCTGAGCAAATAGAGATGCTAATTCTCTAGAATGGCCAAATGGATCAATTTGCCATGCTACACGAGGTCTACCACATTCCTTAAAATTTTGACGTAAAAATTCAAATCCAATAGTATGTTGATCAATGATAGCATTATAATGTGTGGCTGCTTCATCATTCATACACCAACCACCTAGTATAAACTCTAGTCTACCTAGAATAATCAATGATCAAATTATAGTATCAGGTGGTCAATCAGTGCTTCAGAAAATATAGACACATTAGACACTCAATGTACTCATTTAATAGCATTGAAATATTGTTTTATCAACTTAGCAAAAGATAAAACACATTATTAAAACACAAGTTAAATAGTGATCCACTCTTAGATATATTACCTAGAATTATGTGAATATTTCGTGAGATCTCATGGGTCATAAATCAGTGTCAGAAATTATTCCTGCCTACAGATGAATATAGACAAGATTAACAAAAGTAAAATTCTAAATAAAAACTGATACCTTCATTTACCAGACCTTTAACAGCATGTCTCATGCTATCTGATTGCTCTCTCCACCAGCGGGCGAAAAAGGCAATTTCAACATATATAAATCTTTTATTAGGATCATTTATCAACTCTGGTATAACTGAATCTAATATATATTGTACTCCAGCTATCTGAATATCATTTTTATCTACAATAATAATCATACAATTATCAGTATATAATTCTTAAAGTCAAAATAAATCACCTAGTATTACAGTGTATTTGCACCATATTAAAATATTCTCTTGAAATCTGATAATAGTGCAAAATAGAATTCAATAACCAAGAACAGGACTGAAAATATTTGGTATAAAATTGTAACAAAGTATCAAAACTAATTCTATCATTATTAAGAAATCATGTTGATACATGTAGGGTAAGAACTTAGAATCTAGAGCTTTATTTATAATATGTCAAACTAAATGACCCAGTGATATAATTTAGATAGTGCAAAGATAAGTAAATATCAGTCCACTATTTATCAGAAATAAACCAGATAAAACAATTATCAATTGTCTTGTTAAATAATTACTAACATTATCTTATTACAGCTTACATTAACTAAAACTTTAAAAAGTTAGCAGCCTGCGAAATACTAGACCAAAACATCTGCCTCTATTCCAGTTTGTGATAGCTATTTGGACAGATGTCGGCTGGAGTAGAGACAGAAAAAATATTGCATCTTTGGAGGTGTGGAAATTCCCATTTAGCAGGACCTATTTTTTTAAACTCTACTCCGGCCAACCCCTATCAAAATATCTACGTACCCAAAAACATTGTAGCACCAATAAAATGAAAGAGGCTTGATTAATTAAAGAATCTGAATGCCAATCTTCATTCTTTATATCAATAAACAAAAAGTAAAAATTCCTGAAATATTTTCATAATTAAATTTCCATAACCACAACACATTAATTTTGATAATACCTAAAAGGAAGGTATTTACTTCCATATGTACCTAGAGTTTACTTACCACCATAGTAATATTGATCTACTGTTTTTAACCAACCAACATCATCATGAGTATGAGGAACTAAATGAACATTGATCATCCCATGTTTCACTGCATTACAGCTCTACAAAATCAGATGTGAAAAAGGCTAGCTAGCTAAAGTCTGGAATAATCTTTATCCTCCTATGGCTATGCAACAAGTTTTGTTTATCAGCAGTTTTTATGGAATTCATCTTTCACATTTATCTCATACAAGATAATGCTTTGATGTTGCATTAGCTTAGAACTTATAAGGTAAAAGACAAAGAAATTGGATCTGGACGAACAATCTGTTCAATCATAGTAATTATTTGTAATGTAAACTATGAAAATGAAAGTAGAGAAACAATCGCAGTACTCACGCTATATCCGCATTTTGAAGCACCAAAAAATAAATTCTGTGGGGCAGCATACCCAGAATACACAAAAATTGCAATTAAGGCAAGAATGTAAATCATAATTGAAAGAATCAACTTAGAAATCCACTTCAAAAGGCGATCTAAGTTCCTTTCAAAGCCGATTGAAATAAAAGTGGGTCACAAAATCACATGACTTGTATGATAGATAATCTTGATATTGTGAATTCAAATTTGCTGTTTTTTACAATTTGGTTTTCACCTTTCTTTACTCCAGCGTTCAATGCCTCTATCAAATACTACTTTACTTTTTGATCTGTGAATAATACAAAGGTCTTCACTTTTTGGGGTTCTAGTTCACGAAAAATATTCGTCGGAATGACAATATGTGCCATACATAGACACGTGCAATATTACACGGTGTGCCCAAATGGATATACAAAGAAAAGATAACTCTTAAAAGGCGGGAATTTTCCAATTTTACGTAATTTCAAATGTTGAGCCTGTGAATAAGCTTACTCTCTGAAAGAAATATTGATGTAATTCCCAAACATCACTAATCTATAAGTTGGCCTCTTAATTTTATACCTTTTCAGGCATTGGCTCCTTGGCCTGGGCAAATATTCATATTTTTTGTCCACCCAGAATTTGTTGATTGAATTCGAGACTATATAGCATAATAGCCTATTAATAGTTCTTCGTTCTTCATTAATAATCGTGGTCAAAAGACTTTTCTTCACATGTTTTGTTTTGTCAATATGAACACACGCACTTAAAAGGATTGTTAGCTGGTTTTCTAATTATTATTATGTATATCGGGGGCAGTGATATCACCAATTTGCACGATTCCAATTTTCAGCCAGACGTCCGTGGTTCCTCCAATTTCACAAAAAAGAAGTGTTTCGCAAAATTAATACAGTATCATATACAGTGGATATAAGGATTCAACACCGAATTTCGTCGAAGTTAAAAAAACGAAATTTTTTTTTATGTCTTAAATGTTTCCTCATATTCTACAAAATAATTAAAATTGGTTTATTTCGATTTTCTTTTTGAATCCTTCACTTTGACCCATATTTCATGAGCAACCAACTCGGCAACGGCGGCAGAATACGTCACCTATTTTCGTGTACAATGTTTGATCTATAAATAAGTCGAGAAAAACACGTTGTATGGATACCGGGTGGTATGATTAACTTCTCTTAGTATTTATCTTTAATATCAATTCATTATAACTAGTGAAAATTCCTTCAAAGAACCGCGATTTAAAAAAAAAAATAGTGACTGACAAATAAGATACGTAGCGTGATTTATTGCTAAAAGTCACTGAAAGAATATGGTCCACTTTGTGTTCCATAGACATTTTCTGCTGACAAGGAATCCTCTAGTTGATCACGTGACTACATTCGTTGGACTACATTCTAGCAGACGACACTTGGAATTCCGATTACCTCTTGGGATTATAAGGAAATTCGGCCGATAAAAAATGGTGACGTTTGGTAATAAGTGAAATCCGCCATTTTGTATTTGTCAAAGTATACATTAATACATTGTACCTTGCTTGAAACTACTGGATTCATTCTACTAGCTGATATTGTAGAGAAAACCCATGTTTATCAAAACAAACTAATGCGGAGGTCGCGCAAGGTCGCTCATGTAAATTATTAATCATTTCCGGAGATGCACGAATAATAGGTTTCCACGAAATTAGGTTACTTGACTGATATTGTCATAATAAGGCCTTTCGCCATTAGTGACGTCATCAAACCCTTAGTCTTAGTGGAATTGCAGGAACAACAGACGTCTGATTGAAAATTGGAATGGTGTAAATTGATGCTATCAGTGCCCCCGAAATAAAAAAAAACCTCTTTAATTTAAGTCGTGCTTATCTTATAAGTACAGACAACAAAAATCTATGTTTAATGTAGCTTTGATTTATGATTCACCGCTTAGGCTGACCCAGAATTGCGTAGGAATATCTTCATTTTCTTATTCATTCCTTTATGAGAAAACTTTCAATGAAAAAACGCGTGTCAGTCAGTATTCATTGTCAATTATAGATGGAAGTGGTACCAACTACAGCTGGTCATAGAGATCACGATGTAGCTTGGAGTGTAATCACTATGTCTTCACCAGAACCAGTGTGTATAGCGTGTTTGATACAGCATCTTGAAGATTCTAATATATCCACTGTACAGAAGCAACTCATGGTTTCTTTACTCTCAGCTGTTATAAATGATAATGAAGATATTCTGGTCTTTTTACGTAAAAACCTTCTGGTTATAAGACATTTGATCGATATTTTAACAGGTAATTCACAGTTAAATCTGTGTAGGTTAGTATCAAATGTAAAAGAAAACGGTTTATAAACAGATTACATGTGCCTATTTCAGTTTACCGCGGCCTGTTTTCACATAACGTAAATTATGTAGATCTTGAATTGATTTTTCTAAAACTTGAAATAATTTGTTGCCATGTATGTGTCATTCAAGATGATTATCGTAACTTAGACAGGATTCAAAGACGATTATCTTAACTTAGACAGGGTTCAAAATATATTTATCTGTATTTCAGATCAGTTTGAAGACAGTGATACATCTCAAGCTTTAACAGGTAAAACATATATCAGATAATATATCATTGACTTTAAAGCATTTAGGACATTAATGTAATGCGAAAAAACTTATATAGTTTATCCAAACCGTAAAGATTTAAATGGAAGATAAACAATTGTTTCATTAGTAGATCAATCGAAGTGATACGGACATGTATGTGATGTATTTTTGTAGTATGTCGTAGTTTGATTGAGAATACACAATGTGAAGAAATAGTCCTGTATGTATTAGATAAATTGGAATGGCAGGTAATTTATATTGCATCCTATTTAACATTGAACCAAGTCCATTACAATAGCTCATATTAACATACCACATGATACATAAATATGTGATATAATTGCACATTTTGGAGAGATAATATGCGCTGCTTATTTAATTCCAAAATACCACGAATCAATGATGGTTTTCATTCTTGAACATATCTGCAATAATATCAGTGGTCCAAACATTGATTTAAGATTAAATTTTCTATCCAGCTAGACAATTTAGAAGTAAACAAGAATATAAAGATTTCTCCCTGTATCTTATTATTGGGTCAATTACTTTCGCTGTCACCTGTTTATACCTCGATATTACTACAAACACATGGTAGGTATTTTAAATGAATCGACTACTATCACGGTCACCGGTTTTTATCTCAATACAAACACATGGCAGGTGTTTTGTATGAATTGACAACTATCAGTGTAACCAGTTTTTATCCCAATATAACTATCACTGTCATCGGTTTATATTTCAATATAACTACAAACACATGGTATGTGTTTTATACGAATTGACTACTATCACCAGTTTTTAATAAGTATTACAACAAACACATGGAGGGTGTTTTATATTATATTGACTACTATCACCTTCCCTATCACTGGTTTATGTCTCAATATAACTACAAACACACGGTAGATGTTTTATATAATATTGACTTCTATCACCATTCTCTATCACCGGTTTATGTCTCAGTATAACTATAAACACATGGTAGATGTTTTATATAATATTGATTACTATCACTATATCTCAATATAACTACAAACAGTTTTATCGCTTTATAGGATTGACTACTATAGGATAGACTACAATCTCCGTCATCAGTCTATATCTCAATATGACTATTAACACATGGTTTGTTTTTTATATGGATGAACTACAATCACTGTCATCAGTCTATATCTCAATTTATTTACAAACACATGGTAGATGTTTTATATAATATTGACTACTGTCACCGTTCCCTATCTCAATATAACTACGTGGTAGATGTTTTATTACGATAGACTACTACCACTGTCATCAGTCTATATACCAATATAACTACAAACACATGGTAGGTGTTTTATATGGTTAGACTACGATCAGTGTCATCAGTCATCTCAACATAACAAACACATGAACCAACTTACTCTGTTGTTTCGACTATTTTCTCTGGTTTCAGGTGAACTGGTAGAGAAGATAGTATATAATATAAAGAAAGATACTTTACAATGTTCACTAGTTTATATTTTATTCCATATATTTGACAGTAATTTACAGGAATATATACCACCTCCGTTAAAACAGTTACTATGTGATGATATATTACAAGTATTAAATACAGCTCAGAATCTAGAATTACAGATGAATGTATTAGGTAAATATTCAACTCATTGTGATACCATGTGAATAATTATTGTATATCCCGCTTACCCCACCAAATTTGACTTTACTCGATTCTCAGACGCTATATGGGATATCGTCACGGACTATATTTTCCATTCGTATATAACGTCCGAGGAACGGGTAGGGCCATATTTGTCGGACTAATTCCTGTCGCTCTGTCATTACTGTGCAGTTAGCATGAAGCGTCTTCTGCCCAGCGGGCGTCTGACTTGGCAATTCTTTCTGTTCATTTAAGATAGTTACTGGACTCATGTATACCACATTAAAAGTTTTAGCTTTAGATTCTCGTTTTATTTATTTTTTTCTTTGCAGCATTATTAAAGAAGTTATTAAAAAGTCCAGATACATGTATAATGATACAGTATAGTAAATGTAATACAGAGGGCGAATTAATACAAGGACTAAAGAAATTATTTGTTACTAAAGAAGAAGTATTGCAGACAGCTGGTACCCAATGTTTATTGTATTTAATAAATAATACCACACCTGTTAATAATCAACCTATATATTATATATTAAACAGTGATATTACAGGTTAGTGTTAAGTATAATAAATAATACCACACCTGATAGTAATCAACCTATATATTATATATTAAACAGTGATATTGCAGGTTGGTGTTGAATATAATAAATAATACCACACCTGGTAATAATCAACCTATATATTATATATTAAACAGTGATATTACAGGTTAGTGTTAAATGTAATAAATAATACCACACCTGATAATCATTAACCTATATATTATTTATATTAAACAGTGATATTACAGGTTAGTATTAAATTTAATAAATAATACCACACCTGATAATAATCAACCTATATATTATATATTAAACAGTGATATTACAGGTTAGTATTAAATGTAATAAATAATACCACACCTGATAATAATCAACCTATATATTATATATTAAACAGTGATATTACAGGTTAGTATTAAATTTAATAAATAATACCACACCTGATAATAATCAACCTATATATTATATATTAAACAGTGATATTACAGGTTAGTATTAAATTTAATAAATAATACCACACCTGATAATAATCAACCTATATATTATATATTAAACAGTGATATTACAGGTTAGTATTAAATTTAATAAATAATACCACACCTGATAATAATCAACCGATATATTATATATTAAACAGTGATATTACA